TGTAAAGTTAGATTTACAATGCCTCTGGTGTCCAAAAGCTCTAAACATGTTGGTTTATGATCTTCTAAATAAAAATTTAATGACCTAAAAGATTTTGTTTTTAAACCTTCAGTTCTGGAGTCTCAGAATGCTAAGTACCTAAGGACTCCGTATTCAAAAAGAGATTGTTCCTCTAAACTAGAAGTCTTAACTTTTTTACAAATAGTATTCCATAAGCGTTTTTATATGACTAGAGCTCCTGGATACCAAAAACTAGGAAGAAGTAATCGATTCAATTTGTCAATTAATCAAATTAAACTAGTCAATTAAAAAAAATATTTTTATCTTAATTTTTGTTTTGCATAGTTTTTTGTTTGTTTGTTTATTTTTAGGAGGAGGAGGGGGGGGGGGGAAATTATCGAATGTTGATGTAATATTATAGGGGAATCACTGAAAGTTTTACAAGTTGTTGACAAGGGGGTGGGGAAGGTAAAAATTGCCACAAATTTGTTGACGTAATTAATGGACAGCCCCCAAGGTACTTTATGTTAAAAGTTGCATCTTTTCTAAATAAAACTACGCTTAACAATTTGTTATAGTCGCATTACTTTTAACAGAAAATAATAGTGGTTAAAATAATCTTTCTATAAATACCAAATATGTCATACTTTTTGATGAAAAAACTTACATATATTGTAATTGAATAAATATATATATTTTTGTTCGGAAAAACGTGTATCAAGCCTTAGTTGCATTGAGTGTTACGAAAATAAGCTGAATTAGCCCTTATTATTTAATTAAATTATTTAATAAAAACCGTTATAATTATTAATCAATAAAAACTTAATCGAAAATCTTATCTTACTTTGGCCCCTTTAAAAGGATTATCATAAAATCATTGCCCTATCCAGGTAATTTGAGTACCATGTTAAGCTAAACATGCTGTTATGTTTTTGCTTTGTCGCCATTTTTTAAAAAATCAGATTTGATTTATAATATAAACAAACCCATGTTAAAAGCTCTTTGTTGGTGCACGTTTTAAAATCTTGTGCATTCAATTTTTACTAGCTCTTGTTGTAACGACAACCTATTTCGTAAATTATATTGTTTTGAGCGAATGTAATTCTTAAAATTTACCGTGAGAACTTTGGATTTACCGTGAGACCGTGAGATTTGTTATCAAACAGTGAGTCTTATGGCAAAACCTGGAGAGTTGGAAGGTCTGCATTGATGTGATATGTAAGTGAAAAATTAAAAAATATTTTCCAAAATTTTATTAAAATAAGTTTCATATTGAAAAGGAACTTGGTACTAAAAGTTGACACTAGAGTCAACAAAATTGGATTTGTAGTCAGCAAATGTTAGCTAAGGGGTCTTCCATAAAATACGTACGCAGGCATGGAGGAGGAGGGTTTCCCAAAAGCGTACGAACGCGTACAAGAGGGGGGGGGAGGTGGTGTTAAAGACAATGAGTACGTATGCGGTTTGATCTCTCCTAAACATGATTTTTTTTTAAACATTAAATTTCACGTGTGTAACAAATCAGAATTGTTATTTTTTCTGACTTCAGCCACAATTTTTTTTTTTTATATATTCTTTAAAAAAAAAGTCGAAAAGAAAATTGAGTAATTTAAAAAAAAAAAATATCGCGTACGTACTCGGAGGGGGAGGAGTCTTCGAAAGTGTACAGGTTCGTACAAGGGGGTAGAAGGGGTCCTAATTAAGTGGTTTTACTGCGTTAGTCTGCAAAAAAATTTGTTTTTTTCTTATTTGGCAAAAAACAGATACATTGCCCCTCTTTCTAACCTCCTCCCCTCACAACATCAAGATCTTTTCTCGAACGACCCTACGGTACATATTTTTTTTTTTACCAAAACCATCTATTCTTTTTTAATTTCTTTTAAATAACGGAACAACTTTTAACAGTGACTAAAACTTCATTTACTTCGTTTGAGAAATACTAAAATTATTAGTATAAATTATACTAATAATTTTAGTACTTCTTATACTATAAATTATATAATATGTAACAAAAGAGTTGCCTCATTTATTATAAAAACATTTTTATAATAACATGTTACATAGAAAGTTAGGAGTCGAAGCATAAATTTTTATGGCCAAGATTACAGTCTCCGTAAACATGACCAATCAGTAATGCAGTTTATAATCCCAAACGTTTTAAAAATAACTGAAATAAAAACATTTTAAATACCATCAGAGTTTTGTTTTTCCTTTTATAACAAATCTAAATGGATTTTATTCTCTAAAGTTTAGATATAAAAGATTGTGTTTTATTTATTATTAAAAGAAAAACAAAACTTTGTTGAAAATAGAACTTTTCATTCGTTTAGATTCTAAACGCATAGAAATTCTATTTTTTTAACTTGAGAAAATTCGATTTACCTTAAAGATAAAAGTGGAAACTTGTATTACGCGTATTACTTACACGTATTTTCAACACGTGTTTTCATGTACACTTAAAACAAATTTTTAATCATGTTTTACATAAACCCACTTTTGGAAAAACTTTTCAACAAATTTTAGGTAAACCACTTTAAGTTAACGTTCAAACATGTATTAAATAAATTAAATAAATCCACTTTAAGCTAAATTTTCATCATGTTTTAAAAAAATCTACTGAAGACGAATTTTAAATACATTTTAAATAAAGACCCCTTTAAAACAAATTTTTAAACATGTTTTAAATAAATCCACTTTAATAACATTTAAAATAAATCTGCTTTAAGCGAACTTTTCATACATATTTTAATAAAGACCACTTTGAGCAAAGTTTCAAACATCTCATCAATAAATCCACTTTAAGCTAAATTTTAATCAAATTTTATAGAAATATATCTTTTTTAAAACACATTTTAGATGAATCTTTTTATAAACATTTTCAAACATCTCTTAAATATATCCACTTTATGCTAAGTTCATACATATTTTTAAAAAATTTACATTGGTTGAGTTTTCAAACATGTTTCTAATAAATCCACTTTAGGTAAAGTTTTAAACATTTTGAAATAAATCCACTTTAGGCGAAGTTTTAAACATCTCTTAAATAAATCCACTTTAAGTTTTATTTTATACATGTTTCAGCAAAATTAAGTTTTTAAAGCGCGTTTTAAATAAACCCATTTATGACAAAGTTTCGAACGCGTTTTTATTAAATCTATTTTAAACGAATTTTCTATTATGTTATCAATAAATCCACTTTAGACCAATTCTTTTCACGACTATGATTAGACAAAGTTTACACATGTTCTCAATAAATCTTACTTAAAAAGAGTTATCCCACCCAGTCTCTTTATCATACCATAAATGCCAATGTTTATTTATCTTAACAATCCCGATGTTTATTCATCTTAACAATTTTGATGAAATCTACGTTCGAAAATTAAACTACCTCGATTATTGTATAAAATATTAAGTAAATGTGGAATAGTCCTCTTTAAGTCGATCTAACGTTATTATTTTCGTTAAGTGGATCCTTAACTGATAAAAAAACGCTAAGTAGACTTTTTTTTTTTTTTTTACATTTTTTTGGCATACAATACTCTCGTTCGCTTAAAATCCATTTAAGATTACTTTTTAACTTGGTTTTGTTTAATAAAAGCATTTTTAATAAAAAATTTCGAAGGTTTTGTAAAATGCCACTTTCAATAAAGATTTTGACAAAAGGCCACTTAAAGTCGATCTAGCGTTATATATATATATATATATATATATACATATATATATATATATATATATATATATATATATATATATATATATATATATATATATATATATATATATATATATATATATATATATATATAATATGTATATATATATATAATATATATAATATATAATATAATATATATATATATATATATATATATATATATATGTATATATGTATATATATATATATATATATATATATATATATATATATACATATATATATATATATATATATATATATATATATATATATAATATTTATATATATATGTATATATATATATATATATATATATATATATATATATATATATATATATATATATATATATATATATATATATATATATATATAATATATATATATATATGTATATATATATATATACATATATATATACATATATATATATATATATATATATATATATATATATATATATATATATATATATATATATATATATATATATATATACATATATCAAGCTGTCAAAGAGAATTAGATAAGTGTTGTTACAAATTTATAATTACTCTAAGGCATGTGGAGTTGGAAAAAAAAATTACCTTTTTTTTTCCAACTCCGCACACCTGAGAGTCGTTCTCTGAAATTTTCTCTAAAAATTTCAGAGAACGACTCTGACTCCAATTCCGACTGCAAAGCAAATTTTTTGAATATTTTTTTGAATTCTTTAAAAAAATATTATGCAATGATTAAAAAAAATCTTTTTTGCAAATAATATGAAAATTTTTTTAAAGGTTAAATAATTTGCACATGCACATGCAATACAGAGAAGTTTTACTATTTGAGTCAGAATTGCGATTTTGTTTAGCAACTCTGACCCATCTTTCAATGTTGCAACTCCAACTCTATGACTACGCAACCCTGATTGCTTTGATCTTTAAGAACATTGCAATTCTATTTGTATATATATATATATATATATATATATATATATATATATATATATATATATATATATATATATATATATATATATATATATATATATATATATATATATATATATATATATATATATATATATATATATATATATATACATTTATCAGACATAGATCATCCTAGTCATATTTTAAAAATCTGGAAAGTTGTTTGAATAAAATATCCGGAAAAAATGCAAAATTTGTCTTTCCCTATTTTCTTTTTAATTTCGCTTTTAGATAAGTTGCTTTTACTTTTTTTTTGACACTTTTCATAATTTTTCTATGACTGATGAGTGAAAAAGCCTAAAAAACAAATATATTACAAAAATATATACCTCAACTTGCATATATTGAAAATGTTTTGAATATCCTGAAAAATTAATAGTTGAAAAGTTTAGCGTTGCAACAGCATCTAACATCAAATATCCAATACTCAGCAGAATCAAATCGATGGAGAAAAATTTTTTTTTTCCTTTCAGAGTTGTATTTTTAATAGTATACCACATTTATCAATACACACACATGCACAAGCATACACATACACACACGCATACACACACATACATATATATTTATATATATATATATATATATATATATATATATATATATATATATATATATATATATATATATATGTATATGTATATGTATACATATATATATACATATATATATATATATATATATATATATATATATATATATATATATATATATATATATATATATATATATATATATATATATATAAATATATATATACATATGTATACATATATATATATATATATATAATGAATATGTATACATTATGTAAACATTATAATATAATGTATAAATCATGTATGAATAATTATATATACATCCCACAATGGAACAATTATTAAATTAAACGAAACAATACAGTAACGAGGTATCAACATAAGTTATAATCTTAATAATTGTATATACAACCCATCAAATTCATCAAACCCATCAAAGGAAAAATCATCAAATTGAATGAAACAACACGTGAACAACAAAATATATACAATTTATTTATTTACTTATTTTTACAGCAAGATATTACAAATCTTTGCATATATGTATATGTATATATATATATATATATATATATATATATATATATATTATATATATATATATATATATATATATATATATATATATATATATATATATATATATATATATACATTATACTTGTAACTTAGTTACACTTAATAACTAAACTAAATTTTCTTTAATTTAAAAATTGTATAGATTATAGTTTATAGATCATAGAGTATAGAATATAGAAAATTGAAAAATATTTTTAAACGATAAATAACTAAACAAAATTAATAATATCATTGTTAATATCAACCAAAACAAGTAGACATTTTTAATTAACCGAGTTAGCGCATAATATTGTATGCGCCAAGTTGATAATATAAAATTTTTAAATTATTTTTAAGGTAATTTGGACGTCTAATGTAGGTCTTAGCGACGTCAATAGGACGTCTAAATATGGAAATCCTACCCAGCGGGCACAGACGTCAATCAGATGTCTTACGGACGTCTTAACTAGGTCGCGACGTCTCAGACCAAATTAGGAAGTCCTAAAGACGTCCGGTAGAGACGTCTTTGTTAGGACGTCAAAGTGACGTTAATATAAAGACGATATTAGGATTTCCATATTTAGACGTCCTATTGACGTCGCTAAGACCTACATTAGACGTCCTAATTACCTTAAATAATAAATTAAAAAATTTATATTATCAACTTGGCGCATACAATATTATGCGCTAACTCGGTTAATTAAAAATGTCTACTTGTTTTGGTTGATATTAACAATGATATTATTAATTTTGTTTAGTTATTTATCGTTTAAAAATATTTTTCAATTTTCTATATTCTATACTCTATGATCTATAAACTATAATCTATACAATTTTTAAATTAAAGAAAATTTTGTTTAGTTATTAAGTGTAACTAAGTTACAAGTATAATGTATTATATATATATATATATATATATATATATATATATATATATATATATATATATATATATATATATATATATATATATATATATATATATATATATATATATATATGAATATATATATATATATATATATATATATATATATATATATATATATTATATATATATATATATATATATATATATATATATATATATATATATATATATATATATATATATATATATACATATACATATACATATATGCAAAGATTTGTAATATCTTGCTGTAAAAATAAGTAAATAAATAAATTGTATATATTTTGTTGTTCACGTGTTGTTTCATTCAATTTGATGATTTTTCCTTTGATGGGTTTGATGAATTTGATGGGTTGTATATACAATTATTAAGATTATTACTTATGTTGATACCTCGTTACTGTATTGTTTCGTTTAATTTAATAATTGTTCTATTGTGGGATGTATATATAATTATTTATACATGATTTATACATTATATTATAATGTTTACATAATGTATACATATTCATTATATATATATATATATGTATATATATGTATATATATATATGTATATATATATATATATATATATATATATATATATATGTATGTATATATATATATATACATATACATATACATATATATATATATATATATATATAAATATATATATATATATATATATATATATATATATATATATATATGTATATATATATATATATATATACATATATATATATATATATATATATACATATATGTATGTGTGTATGCGTGTGTGTATGTGCATGCTTGTGCATGTGTGTGTATTGATAAATGTGGTATACTATTAAAAATACAACTCTGAAAGGAAAAAAAAAATTTTTCTCCATCGATTTGATTCTGCTGAGTATTGGATATTTGATGTTAGATGCTGTTGCAACGCTAAACTTTTCAACTATTAGTTTTTCAGGATATTCAAAACATTTTCAATATATGCAAGTTGAGGTATATATTTTTGTAATATATTTGTTTTTTAAGCTTTTTCACTCATCAATCATAGAAAAATTATGAAAAGTGTCAAAAAAAAAGTAAAAGCAACTTATCTAATAGCAAAATTAAAAAGAAAATAGGGGAAGACAAATTTTGCATTTTTTCCGGATATTTTATTCAAACGACTTTCCAGATTTTTAAAATATGACTAGGATGATCTATGTCTGATAAATGTATATATATATATATATATATATATATATATATATATATATATATATATATATATATATATATATATATATATATATATATATATATATATATATATGATCTTTAAGAACATTGCAATTCTATTTGTATATATATATATATATATATATATATATATATATATATATATATATATATATATATATATATATATATATATATATATATATATATATATATATATATATATATATATATATATATATATATATATATATACAAATAGAATTGCAATGTTCTTAAAGATCAGAGCAATCAGGGTTGCGTAGTCATAGAGTTGTAGTTGCAACATTGAAAGTGGGGTCAGAGTTGCTAAACAAAATCGCAATTCTGATTCAAATAGTAAAATTTCTCTGTATTGCATGTGCATGTACAAATTATTTAACCTTTAAAAAATTTTCATATATTTTGCAAAAAAGATTTTTTTTAATCATTGCATAATATTTTTTTAAATAATTCAAAAAAATATTCAAAAAATTTGCTTTGCAGTCGGAATTGGAGTCATTATCGTTCTCTGAAATTTTTAGAGAAAATTTCAGAGAACGCCTCTCAGGTGTGTGGAGTTGGAAAAAAAAAGGTACTTTTTTTTTCCAACTCCACATGCCTGAGTAATTATAAATTTGTAACAACACTTATCTAATTCTCTTTGACAGCTTGATATATGTATATATATATATATATATATATATATATATATATATATATATATATATATATATATATATATATATATATATATATATATATATATATATATATATATAGATATATATATATATATATATATATATATATATATATATATATATATATACATATAGATATATATATATATATATATATATATATATATATATATATATATATATATATATATATATATATATATATATATATATATATATATATATATATATATATATATATATATATATATATATATAAAGTAGCGATTCTTTACAGTTTTTAGCGTTAGACAAAAATCTTATTATTTTCTTGAACTTTACTTGTTTATATATTTTTTTAAGGTTAAGCATGAAACTTGAAATTTTTTGCATTATTAAGTTTAAATCTACCTCTTTTCAACCATATATAAGAAGTACTATTTACTATTTTATGTACTGTTTATATTGCTTCACTTATATATTTTACTTTTTTCAGAGTTTCAATTAAAAATATTTTGCTCTTGTAAGTAATTAGCAAAAGTTTGAATTTTAACATTTATGATTGACAGTACATCATTTATCATCTTTTTTATATATGTAGACTACCAACAGACACTATTTTGTCCGAATACAGCATGAATGGTCTAAAGAAGAAAAAAAGGTTTAAAGAATTGACAAGTCTATGTAATGCTGGTATTCTTATTTGCTTATTAATGTGTTTGATTAACTTTTAAAATTAAAAATGATGTTTTAATAAAATATATATTTTTTTTAATTCTTTGGCTATGGAACCTGACATGTATTCAAGTATATTTTATTTTATGATCTTATTGAAATATGTCTTGTTGTTTTTATTAGAAACTGCTTTGAAGTCAAATAAAAACAAAATGGATGCCATCCATCCAACTTATTGGGAGAGTAATTGGGAATTCTTCTGACCGATTAAAGAAAACATCCACTAATATGAATATCGATCAATGATCTGCTTAATTAGCTGTTGTATTTTTTATTTATTTTCCATTTTTCAGCAATTTTCTTCTATTTATAATGCACTATCGATTATATTCTACAGTACCTAATAGTTTTTAAAATGGAAAGGGTAATTTTATTTGAAAAATTATTCTTATTTTTTGTAAAGTAATTAATTTATTTTAAATATATCAAATTACACTTTATTTACTTAGATTTCTTGTTATAACTTCCCTTGCCTAAATTAAGGAAAATCTAAGGTGTGTGTTGTAATTCATTGCATTTTTATATAACTTTTAAAAGATTGTCTTGGTAATATTCAGACGTCTCTAGGACGTCTGAATAAGATGTCCTTAAGTCATTCATATGACACCAGTCAGAGACATCTCTAAAACATCTGCAAAAAATGTCTTCAGAACGTTTATATATATATATATATATATATATATATATATATATATATATATATATATATATATATATATATATATATATATATATATATATATATATATATACTATATATATATATATATATATATATATATATATATATATATATATATATATATATATATATATATATATATATATATATATATACATATATATATATATATATATGTATATATATATACGTTTATATGTATATATATATATATATATATATATATATATATATATATATATATATATATATATGCTAAGATTTGTAATATCTATATATAATATATGTATATATATCTATATTATAATATATGTATATATATATATATATATATATATATATATATATATATATATATATATATATATATATATATATATATATATATATATGCTAAGGTTTGTAATATCTTTGCTGTAGAAATAGGTAAATGAATAAATAAATTGTATATATTTTGTTGTTCCTGTGTTGCTTCGTTCAATTTTACGATCTTTCCATCTCTGGTTGTATAAATAATTATAAAGATTATTTCTTATGTTGACACCTAGTTACTATGTGGTTTCATTTATATTGATGTATTATTATTTATATATACATGATTTATACATTATATTATAATGTTTATATAATGCATACATATTCATTATATATATACATATTTATATATATATATATATATATATATATATATATATATATATATATATATATATATATATATGTATATATATATATCAATATATATATCAATATATATATATCAATATATATATCAATATATATATATCAATATATATATATATATATATGTATATATATATATATATCAATATATATATATATACATATATATTCTTATAAGGTTAAGCATGAAACTTGAGATTTTTTGCATTATTCAGTTTAAATCTACCTCTTCTCAACCATATATAGGAATTACTATTTACTACTTTATATACTATTTATATGGCTTTACTTATATATTTTATTTTTCAAAGTTTCAGAAAAAATTTATATTCTAACTTGCTGAAATGAAAAAAAATTTTAGGAGATAGAACTTCACTGTTCTCTAATAATCCAGAAGAAGGTTTTAAACAACGTAACAGTTCAGATAAACTTAATGTTTTGAAAAAAAAATTTGCAAATGGAGATATCCAATACATCACTTTTGTATACATGAGTTTCATCTTTAAAGTTTGTATGATATATATTATTACAATATTTATTTTAAATTGTCATAAACATTTTCAATGTTTCTTATACATTGTTTCTTTTTAGATAAAACAGTTATCATTAATTGGCGATAAAAATCTAGCTGATACAATTAAAAATATTTTGTTCTTGTAAGTAATTAGCAAAAGTTTGAGTTTTGACATTTTTGATTGACAGTAGAGCATTTATCTTCTTTTTTATATATGTAGACTGCCAACAGACACTATTTTGTCAGAATACAGCATGAATTGTCTAAAGAAGAAAAAAAAGTTTAAAGAGTTGACAAGTCTATGTAACGCTGTCACTGGTATTCTTATTAGCTTATTAATGTGTTTGATTAATTAAAAATTAAAAATGATGTTTTAAAAAAAAAAAAAAAAAAAAATTTTGGCTCTGGAACATGACATGTATTTAAGTATGACATATATTTTATTTTATGATTTTATTGAAACATGTTTTGTTGTTTTTATTAGAAGCTGCTTTAAAGTCAAATAAAAACTTAACCAAAATGGATGCTATCCAACTTATTGGGAGTGTAGTTAGGCATTCTTCTGACCGAATAAAGAAAACATCGACTAATATGGATTTCGATCAATGTTGGCTTAATTAACTGTTGTATTTTTTTTCCATTTTTAAGCAATTTTCTTCTATTTATAATGCACTATCGATTATATTCTACAGTACCTATTTGTTTTTAATTTGAAAAATGTAACTTTTTTGTTTGGAAATTATTCTTAATTTTTATAAAGTTATTAATTTATTTTAAATATATATAATTACACTTTATTTACATTGATTTCCTTTTATAACTTCCCTTGCCTAGATTAAGGCAAGTCTAAGGTGTGTGTTGTAAATCATTGCATTTTTATATAACTTTTAAAAGAATGTAAAATTCAAACGTCTCTAGGACGTCTGAAAAAGACGTCCTTAAGTCATTCATATGAGACCAGCCAGAGTCTCTAGAACGTCTGCAAAAAACGTCTCTAAGACGTCTCTAAAAAACGTCTTCAGGACGTCCGGAATGGACGTCCTCAAGCCTTTCATTTGAGACCAACTAAGGATGTCTTACGGACGAGACTTAAGACGTCTAACGGACGTCCTAAGGACGTCAAAATGCCCGCTGGGTAATATCGTCTTTATATTAACGTCACTTTGACGTCCTAACAAAGACGTCTCTACCGGACGTCTTTAGGACGTCCTAATTTGGTCTGAGACGTCGCGACCTAGTTAAGACGTCCGTAAGACATCTGATTGACGTCTGTGCCTGCAGGGTAATGTTCTTTGCTTTATGTTTAAATGTAAAACCAACTCATCTCCAGCTTCTATTTTTGATTTATATTTTTTAAAAGAAAAAAATAAATATTTTTTAAGAAATGATAGTTTTAGTAAACAACCAAAATTTCAAACAAACTTTGGTAAACTTTGCATTTTTTTTCGTGGAGCTTTTTTATGGAACACAATAATTTTAAAAAATTTTGATTTTTCTCATGAATGGAATTATTATATGTTCAAAAGAAAACTAAAAAAGTAATTTTCTCAGTTGAAAATATATTTATATACTTTTACCCAGTATTTATATAATTATACCCAGTTTTGTCATCACTTATTTATATTTTACTTTTATAGAATATTGATTTAAATTTTGAGAAACTATATTTAAACGCTATTATTTGAATTTTGGTAAAAGTTGCACTGACATTATTTGTACAGTAGTTTATTATTATTTACTTGTTTACTTTAATTTTTATTTTAATTCGTAATATTTGTAAATAATTTGTCTTACGAACGGTATATACTTTTAATATTGAATTTAATTTTGTAATAAATAAAAAATATATATATTATTATAAAATAAAAAAATAAAAAATTGATGTATGTGAATGGATGTATCTGCAAATACTGTATGTATGATACTTCTGGAAGTTAACCATCTTTTGACAATGGTTTAGCATTTTTGTCGGTGGAAGCGTAAAGGTAAACGCACCAACATTTGATAATTTTGGCTTCACACACAGTGACACCATCATTTGGCTTTCTAAATTCTTCTACACAATCTTTTAGACAACCTTGAAGTGTATTTGGATGTACCTAGGGCAATCATATTCTTATTATTTTCGTTTATCTATTAATTAATTAACAATTAAGATTAGTGTTATTGTAAGATACATTTGAGTAACAAGATTCTGTGACCGTAAAGATGCGAGTAAGATACGAGGCGTATTTGTTTATCAAGAATATTATGATATTATTGTTTTCGCTTGAGTCATGCGATTCAAAAGAATTAGTATTTTAATCTAAGCCATCAAGACCATAACTAAAGAAAAGTTTAAAGTTTGTATTTATTTATTTTTGTTTTTTCTAAAATTTAAATTAAGTTCAAAGTTCTTCAACAGCGGTTCTCGGTGGCAAGACCTATCCCAGTGGGCACAGGACGTAAAAAAGACGTCCTTAGGACGTTCAAATCGCGTCCGTCCGTCCCATAAAATTTTAAACGTCATTTGAACGTCTTTTTTGCGTCCAATAATTTTTTCGTCCAAAAAATATCCAGAATGCTTTATTAAATTAAATAAAATCAGTTAAATCACGCAAGCGCTAAAACTTCTTTAAATTTTTAAGTAACGCATGTTTAATAAAGTTTTTTTTCAATTACAAAAGAAGTCTTTTTACAACGACTAATAGACACGTTCCATCTAATTTTTGTTTTTGTTATCAATGACTTGAAAATTGTGGTAATATTGATACAGGTAATGAAATTTTACAGATAATGAAAGAAACGGTTTAAAACTGAATATATGCTATACAATGTTTATTTATACTTGATATACTATTAGTATAGTATTGCTATATCAAGAACCAAGTTCTAACAATTTCAAAGATTCAGACATCTCATGCAGAATCGAATTTTTCAATAGGAAAACCTGTTAATGATACATGGAACAATTATCCTGATAATTCTTTGAATTCAATGTCTTTACTCAACAACATTGAGCTATTCAATAATAGAACCAGTACATTAGTTGATCTTCTTGAAATATTGCCAAATCAAGTTTTGGAACTTCCCAAAGATTCAAGGAGAATTTTAAAAACACCTTATGAAAAGCGACTTATAGACAGGTTCTTGCTAATTTATATATATATATATATATATATATATATATATATATATATATATATATATATATATATATATATATATATATATATATATATATATATATATATATATATTTAAACATTTAATTACTTGAGAATCGTATTAATATTGATACATATATTGAAATTAATACAGATATTGACATAAATAGTTAAAAACTGGGTATATGATATATATATATATATATATATATATATATATATATATATATATATATATATATATATATTAAGTATATACTTGACACTTGATATAGTATTTCAAGTATAATAATTGATATACTATATCAAGAACCAAGTTCTGACTGTTTGAAAGACTTAGACATTGCAGAATCTTATGCGTAGTCATATATTTCAAAAAGAAAACCTATTAATAATACAGAGAGTTTATGCTAATAATTCAATATCTTTAATTAACAACTTTTAGATTGTTCTATTCAAAATAATTGGACCAGTACATTAGTTAATGAACTTTTTGAAATATTACAATATCAAGTTTTGGAACTACGCTAACAACCAATTACTTAATTTTAGTAATTAGTTATTAGTGAAGTTCAAAAGTTTTGACTAAAAAATAAGTCTAATTGAAAAAATTAAACCAGTCGTAACAGTTATATAAGAGACAGGAGGGTAGAAAATTTCCTTTACTCTATAGGAAATTTTCTACCTACCTGTCTTTTATATAACTGTATTACTTGTTTAATTTTTTTAATTAGACGTTTTTTAGTGACTTATCCTACTCTTTTATTATCTGACTATCTAAAAGTATTTTTTAGAAGATAGATGTAAATAACTTTTCTCTTTTATCATTCTTTAAAAGTTCAATATGAATAATTTTAATTAAAATCAATATTTATATTATTTGAAAAAATTTATATTTTAGTAACTTATCTAACTTAAATAAGAATAAGAAAAATATATTTAAAGATGGAATTGATTTAATATTTTTTTGAAATGATTTTTTATAACGATATTTTGAAAATTTATGGTTTTAGTTTTAGTATTTAGTAAAAAAATATATAACACAGCAAAAACATTTAAATCAGAATTTCAGTGGAGCTTTATATAGGCATTTTAGGTCATTGCAGTTTTGGTCATCGTTTACTTAATGGCCTATTAGTGGCAGCATATATATATATATATATATATATATATATATATATATATATATATATATATATATATATATATATATATATATATATATATATAATATAATATATATATATATATATAATATATATATATATATATATATATATATATATATATATATATATATATATATATATATATATATATAATATAATATATATATATAAGTAATATGTTAATTTATAATAATTTTTCTGTTTTTATTTAAAATTTATTGAAAAAAATAAGATTCTGTTTTCAATGTAGTTATATTCTCCTTAATTCTGCTAATTTTTCTTTCAAAAAGTTGACTTTCGTGACCAAATCTCTTTAAATAATAGAAAAATCTCTCCTTAAAATCCTTACTTATAGCGTCAGTTTTAATAGTAAAAATACAAAATATATGTCAATAAATAAAATAAAAATGAGTTGCTAAAATTTAAAATTATTAGAATTAGTTAAAATTTAGAATTATTAGTTATTATTAGTTAAAATTAGTAGAATTTGTAGTATTAGTTAAAGTTTAGAAATAGATAGTGTGAAACATCAATGAGATACAATTTAAACAGAAAAATTAAAAAAAAAAATAAATAAATAATGCTAATGCTAAAAAATTAACACTTGTAAGAATATTTTTTACTTTTCCATAAATTTCATTTACTTGATAATTAAGATTTTATTTGTAGGAGTGTCAACTACATCAAGTGTCAGTTGATATAAATGTTTTGGTCAAATACATGTAACATAATATTACCAAATACAAATATTTGGTAATATTATGTTACATTTTTGTTTTGTATTTCAAAAACTCATATTGCATTTATTTAAATATGCATTTAGGAATCTAGAATTGATGTATTTGTATTTTTTGTATCTAATTTTAATTTAAATTAAAGAAATTTTATTTGATTAAATGTATTTAATTCTAAGGTTCATTTTTATTTTTGCTTTCGGTTTTAAAAAAATAGAACAACGGTTTTGGCTATAGTTCATTTTATGTAATGGTTAATGTAATATAATTTATTTTATGTAATATGCCAAATGAATTTTTATTAGTAACAACTTTTTTAATTCATTCAACTCCTCCAAAATTTGAAAATCTGTGATTCAAAATTTTGCTTTTCCCAAAACAATACATAATTTACACAAAATTTTTGAATTGAATAAAACACCAATGAATTGCTCCTATGCCCAATATAACTTACACTAAATTGTCCCATATCAATTACACTAGTGTTATCTTTTGAATTTAGAAATAGAAGTTATTAAATGTTGGTGGCTCATCATGCAGTGCATATTAACAAGTGCTTATCAGAGTCTTGTTTTCCATCATGCTGGAAAGCAGCATCTGTTATCCCTATTTTCAAAAATTCCGGAGAGCGATCTGATTCATCTAACTACCGTCCCATTAGTCTTCTTCCTGTCATAAGCAAGGTTTTTGAATCTTTAATCAACAAACACTTAATCTCTCATCTTGAATCAAATAACTTACTTTCTGATCATCAATATGGATTTCGGTCTTCTCGTTCTACAGCTGATGTGCTAACAGTAATAACCGATAGGTTTTACCGTGCATTAGATAGAGGTGGAGAGGTTAAGGCTATCGCACTTGACATTTCTAAAGCTTTTGATAAAGTTTGGCATGCTGGTCTTCTCCATAAGCTTTCTTCTTATGGTGTAGCTGGTAACGTCTTTAAGATTATTGAGTCCTTTCTTTCCAATCGTAGTATAAAAGTTGTCCTCGATGGACAACACTCTTCTTCACATCCTGTAACTTCAGGGGTTCCTCAAGGTTCAATCCTTGGCCCTATACTCTTTTTAATTTACATTAACGATCTTCCAGATATTCTCACATCTAAGGTGGCATTATTCGCTGACGACACTACCATTTACTCTTGTCATGATAAGAAGCCTACACTCTCTGATTGCTTGGAGGGGGTATCTGAGCTTGAAAAGGATCTCACTTCTGCTACAGCATGGGGCTCACAGTGGCTGGTGAACTTTAATTCAGATAAAACTCAATTTTATTCGGCCAATCGTTATCGTAATAATTTAGATCTTCCTATATTTATGAATGGTAATGTACTAGATGAGTCATCTACCATTCATCTTCTAGGATTAACTCTTACTTCTGATCTTTCTTTTAAACCGTATATCAAATCCATTGCAAAATTAGCATCTGCTAAGGTTGCATCTCTTTATCGAGCTCGACACTTTCTTACTCCAGATTCTATTCTCTATCTCTATAAATCTCAAATCCGTCCCTGTATGGAATACTGTTGCCACATCTGGGGCGGATCTTCTAATGATGCTCTTTCTCTTTTAGACAAGGTGCAAAAACGAATTGTAAACATAGTTGGACCTGCTCTGGCAGCCAATCTCCAACCTTTGTCACATCGTCGTAATGTTGCTTCTCTTTCTCTTTTCTACAAATACTATAATGGGCACTGCTCTAAAGAGCTAGCGTCCCTTGTGCCATCTACTAAAATTCATTCTCGTGTTACTCGCCATTCAATTAAGTCTCATCCTTTTTCTGTGACTGTTCCTAAGTGCTTCAAAAACTCTTATTCTTCTAGTTTTTTTCCTCGAACATCAGTTCTTTGGAATTCGCTTCCTTCATCTTGCTTTCCTGATTCATATAATTTGCAATCTTTTAAGTCATCAGTCAATCGTTATCTTGCTTTACAGATTTAGTCTTTTCTCTTCCAGTAACTTCCAACTCTTATAGTGGTTGCTTGCTGCCTTGTTGGAAGTGAAGATGTTGAAAAAAAAAAAAAAAAAAAATATGAGAAGGGCATGCTTTCAAAGTAAGTATAATTTTACTATAAAAAGAGCATTTTTAATACCGCAATTATATTGCATACTTGATATACATAAATATATACGCTGGTCACAACAATCCAGTCAAAAATTTCTTTTAAAAAATAAATTTAGTGTTGAGAAATTCGTATTTTTAGATGTTTGATGTTATGTTTATAAAATAATAATTATATATATGTGTGTATGTTATTTATTTCTTTCCCCTTTATTTTTACATACTTATCTTAATAATATTTTTTTAAGGTTAAGAGTGCTTCCCTGATTCCTACAGCAAAAAAAAACTTTAAAATGCTGGTGGCAATATTTTAAAGAGTGCATCTGATCGAAAAGAAGGTGAATGACGTCAACTCTTCGAAAAATGCGATTCTTGGAAATTAGCAAGTGGAAGAAGAAGTTTATAAAGTTGTAATTTATAAAACTTAGCACAATTATATTATTAAAAAGTTTAAATGATTTATTCTTATTTTCTTATTCTCAAGAATTTCTGTGAAAACATAAATTTGAACCTTACGTTTAAGTAAAGCCATGTTAGAACACGTATTTTAGACGTCTAAATTAGGTTATTTAAAGACGTCGTTCGGCGTTTCCATTTAGCACTAGTTCTGAACGTCCTAAATTCACGCCTTTTAGACATTTAAAAACACGTCTTTATTCCGTCCTAAAAAGACGTCCTAATTACGTCTTAAAAAGACGTCATCTGGCGTTGCCATTTAGAACTAGTTCTGGACGTCCTAAAAAGACGTCCTTTCGACGTCATATAGACGTTGCCGTGCCCGCTGGGATATGGTCTTCTTTGAGTATCCGCGTTCTTTATCTTTATTCTTTATTTTTTATCGGTTTCTTCGCATGTAATTTTTCTTATTGATATATTTGTAAATATTGGATTAAATATTATAATAAAGAACAAAAAAGAAAACAAATATCGCCCCGGCGGCCAATATCCAAGGAGCGCCAAATAAGATGTAGGTACCTAAAAAAAAAAAAATTTTAATGTACTAAAAAATAAAACAAATATCTTTAAATAAATTTTTAAATAATTGCTTCTTAGTTTCGGCTAAGTAGTCATAATTAAACTCTTAATTTGGCAACAAAAAGAGTTTAGGCTTCTTAAAAAAACAAATCTTCTAGGGCCCTGCGTAAGCCTGTTATCAGCTGCAGATGTCTAGTTGGTTGAAAAATTAAAAAAATAATCAAAAAAAAAATAGATTTTTACCAAAGGATAAGAGAAATACCGCATGAGGAACTAGATGAAAAAAGTGTTTATCGCTCAGATTGCTACAAAAAGTTACAAAAGTATCACTTATTGTATAAGTCTGTAACGTTTGGTTAATGTAAATTTAAGAAAACTTGTTGCTAGCATTCCTGAAGCTGAATCCATAAAAAACATAGATAAATCAGAAGATTCAAACCGAATGTCAAAAGATAAAAAAAAGTTTATTCGTTCAAAATCTAAAATCCACAACAAAAAACTTTGTATAATTTGCCAATGTGAAAGCGGTAAACTTCGAAAATTTGATTTTACAAAGACTGCGAAAAAAATGTTATAAGTTTCCAAGTCGCTTAATGATCAAGAATTCTTTCTTAGAATAAACAACATCACAAACCCTGAAGATGCTGACGCAAATCATGTTAAATACCATTTAAAGTAATGGGTAACAGCGAAGAATCTGATAAATTGACAACAACTCAAGAAGAAATTCAAAAATTGGATGATATTAGACAGGTTATCGAAGATGTAAAAATTATCAGTTGATTTAAACTTATAAGAAGATGGTTTTGCTATGGATATGAACAACATCAATAAAACATACAATAGTTTGATTGGGAATAGTGACCAGACTTAGGAAATTAAAAAACATAACTACAAAATAACGTGCTAGAAACAATTTATTCAAGACCGAACAGTGATTATGCCGCAATTATCTAGTCAACAAAAAAAGTTCAAAAAAAAGTCCTGCAGCAAAGAAAATGAAAGTTTGATGGAAACTTCACTGGTTATGATACTCCAACGTCCTTATATTGTTTGCTGAGGAGGGTGATACTAAAATAAAATGTAGACTCAAGTTATGTTGAAAATTATTTTGTTTTTGAATTTTGAATGCTTTAATTTTGGATTTGCTATTTCTTATTATAGTGTTTTAGATTGAAAATGGTTAAGAAAACGCTGTTATTAGAAAGATGTCAACAAATCAATGCGCATTTGTACCTTGGAATATTCAAATAGAAATGCCATTGAACTTTGCTATTGATAATATATAAGCAGCCAATATTGAATCTAATCTCACTTTTGTAACAGATTGGGGCTCGCAGCGGATTGTAAATTTTAACTCCAACAAAACTCAAAGATATTTATTGCAAACAACTATCGCAATACTACCGACATTCTTACACACTGAGTCCTCTTCCTTAGGTCTTCTTGGATTATCTATCACAACTGACCTTTCATGGAAACCATATATACAATCGATTGCTAAATTAGCATCCGACAGGGTTTTTTCTCTTTACCGTACTCGCAATTTTCTTACTCCTGGTTTTGTTCTCTACCTCTACAAATTTCTTAATTGTCCCTCTATAGAATACTGTTGTCATATTTGTGCTGGTTCTTCTACTCTTGCTCTTTCTTTTCTTATAAAAAGGTCCAAAAACGCATTATAAACCTTGTTAGACCCACTCTATCTGCTAAGTTTAAGCCTCTTTTCCATTGTCTTAAAGTTGCATTTCTTTCTCTTTTATACAAATACTGTCATGGTTGCTACTCAATGCAGCTACCATCTCTAGTTTTATCCACTAAAATTCATTCTCGCTTGATTCGTCATTTAGCAATGTCTCATTCTTGTACTGTATCTTTACCTGCATACTCTAAAAACTTTTATTTATCTAGTTTTTTCCCGCGCATTCCAACCCATTGGAAGTATCTGTCATCTTCATGTTTTCCTGACTCATACAACTTTCAACTTTTTAAGTCTTCTTTTAACCGTTTTCTAGCTCTATAACTCTGTTCTTTTTTGTCTAATAACCCCTAATTTAATAGCGGTTGCTTGCAGCTTATTAGGAGTTAATCAAAAAATAAATAAAAATTAAAAAAAATAAATAAATAAGGTAGTGTCATCGGGCTTAAATTTTAAAACATAAAAATAATATTAAATAAAATTAGAATTCTACCGATAAATTTGAGTTTAGTTTAAATAATAATATAAAACTCATGAAATTGTTGCCCTTCGAGGTTTAGAGGCAGAATTTTTTTTTTGAGGGGGGGGGGGGGGGAGGGAGGAATTTTTCTTTCCCCAGGTTCTAATAAATAAATATTTTTGCAAAGCAATTTTTTGTTATAAGCATAAACATATTTAAATTTAAAGTCTTCTCCACGTCTGAAAGTTATCTTTTTCAAAAATCACTAATAGCTTCCGTGATTCCATAAATTTCAATAGTTCGTACTTTTGGTTTGATATTTCTGTCTTACAAAAAAGCTGTTGCTTAGAAAGTACGGATGAAAAACATAGTTTAGTTATTTGAGGTACCCATAAATTAAAATGTATAATGGCAGCACAACTTTATTACTGACACTACCTTTAAAAAATCTTTAATATATCTTTAGTTATACTTTTGAAAAAAAAATTTTTACTTCCGCTTAAATATCTGGAATTATTTTTTTTTGATCTTATTCCTTTCGATAATTGGGCCCTATAATAAATAATATCGGCAAAAAACAAATACGATTTTTAAAAAAACTTCATAAATTATAAATTTTAAAAAATTAAAGAATTTTGAAACAACAAAAATTCTGTTAAATATTGTTCTAAAATTCAATAAAAACATTTAAAATATTGATATTGTCTATATTGTTTATTTAAATATATACAATTGTTTTTTTTTCTATTATTGCTTTTTTATTACCAGCATTGATTTAATGGTTGAAGATTAATTGATCTGCATTCACATCTCGTTTTGTTTCCATTATTGAAACAATGAATGCAGTTTAATATACACATCGTTTTGTTGCACTCAAGATGGGAACAAATCAGTGTTATCACTGTTATATTAATATAAATTCAGATACACAGTAATTTAAAGTATAAACATGCGTTTTTTACGTCTTATAAAATTTTTTTTACCAACGTTTTTTGCGATAAACACAGAATCATATTTAGAAAAATGCACACTTTTTGACTTAAATTTTGGATTAAATAGTAGTTTAACTCAAGAATGTTTTATACAAGGCCAATTATATTCATACTGCATGTATTTAGATGTAAGACTTAAATCATTCAATATGTTATTAATACATTATAAAAAAGTTTGTAAAAGATTTTATGCTTTTATAGATTTTATATTTTAAGTTTTTACGCACAAAAATTTTTAATATTATATATATATATATATATATATATATATATATATATATATATATATATATATATATATATATATATATATATATATATATATATATATATATATATATATTTATATATATAGCAGTGATTCTTAGAGAATTAATATTGAAAAAATAAAAAAGTTTTTAAAATCAAAGGTTGAGACTCATAATCAGGGGCGAAGTGAGGCTTGAAATCGGCCCGGGAATTTTACATTTGTCTGGCCTACATCAAAGAAAAAGAAAGTAAAGTAACGGGTTAAAAATTTAATATTCAAGCTGACCAGAAATATAAAGGATTTCATATAAATTTTAGATTGTTTTTTTAAACTTTCAACTTTTTGCTTTAATATAAATTAAATTAAAGCTTTAAGTTTTAAGCACAGAAGAGCCTGGAGTCAATTTTCTTTATCAATATTTATAGTTTCCTTTTGACACAATAAATATATATCGCTGCACAATTTCATCGTACTTTATATTATTTTAATTAATTTAAAATTTAAGCACTTGTTATATATATTATTTATATTGATTCCTGAATAAAAAACTCATATACTTAATTTTATCATAAGTATTAAAAATTTTTTTAGGTTGAGAATGGGCTGAGCCCATCTTCATTTGATAAAAGTTGTTCTACTCCATCTTGTAAAGAGGTAATTGGTTTTTGATTATAGCACAATTTATCTTTACCCTTACGACAGAAAACACTCCTCGTCCTTATATAATATTTGCAGAAGTTATTGTTTAGGGTTATCATTATAAAACATTTTCTAGCTGAAGCTGCCGCTCCAGCAACTATGTCAAGGTTGCTCAAAATTTATAAATTTATTCTATAAATAACTTTTTAGCAGCTAAATGTAAATTTAAATGCAGCTAAATGTATTTGTAAGCAGTAAAAATTGATATACTTAACTGATAACGAAAAGTTGGTGATAGAAGGCATCATGTATACTTACAAAACTTTAAATCATTAGAAATCTAAATAAATAAACGTCACATATTTAAAAAAATTTTTTAAATATTAATAGTGGACAACTATTTCATATTTTCTAAGAAAATTTTAAAAAAGAAAAATCATAAAATGCGACTTTAAAACTTTAAAAAATTTCAAAAATTGGTAATTAAAACTTAAAACTATTAGAAGTGCATTCTACAAAATTTATATATTTGTGCGTTCTGCCACAAAATAGAGATACAAATAAATTGTTAAAAAACTTTATTGAAATAATTCAGAAATATATATTATACAAGATTTTTAAAGTTTTTACCATAAAATAGAAATAAAATAAAACAATAAAAACCAATTGAACATTTTATTAGATTCTATTTTTTTGTGTTAAACATTTTACAACTATTCTTGCAAATAAAATTGCATTTTTCACAATAATTTGATATTTTGTTTATTTGTATTTTCCAGAAGAGTTTTTATAGTACCATATGGTACCAGAGTTGTAATTGAAGTAAATAAATTTAGTGTTTAAAATACACAAATCTAGAACTCTAAAAAGGGGATACTTCTACCATTTAAAGGAATTTTTACCAATAGAATAGAAGTTAAGAAGCTATTTGAAACTTGTGTGGAAAACAATAAAAATAAGTGCAAGTGTTTATTGAGATGGATTTATCAAACACAGCCCTGCATCCTTGTGTATACTCTATTCTATTGGCTTTTTTTTAATTCTAGACTTGTAAATAATACCCTTATAAAACATCACACTGAATCTGAATTTTGATGCTAAATTTCTGAAGCTCTTTTTGCATGTATTGCTTGAAACTTCCATGAATCGTGACACCTATCATTTGTTGTATGGTATAAATATGAATAATCATTGTATATTAACATCTTAATGATTATATTATTATATAATCATTAAGATGTTTTGCAGATATTCAAATATAGGCGGTGAGATCTGTTGCAAGATATGTAAAAAATTATTTTTTTACTAAATACTATTTATTAAGTAGTACATTCATACTTTCAAAATACATTTATTTCTGATTCTTAGCCGATAACATTATCTACAATCTGATTCTATTATCACAATTCCCACGTCTACGTAACTGGACGGCCCGTTAGTCACTTTTTGCGATCATTGTGTCACATAAAAAATTACAAATAATAAAATAAACAAAAGATTTTAATCACTGTTACTTACCAATTGCTAGTATAACGAACTATTACTAAAATGCAGTAATAACTTTGAAGAGGCATAACTCCCTTAGTTCATGAGATAAAAACATAATATATAAAAGAAAAAAAATAGTATTTTAGGCAGGCAATTTATTTGCATAATAATATTTTTCAATCAAACCGTTGCATATTATATATATATATATATATATATATATATATATATATATATATATATATATATATATATATATATATATATATATATATATATATTCAACTTTTTGTTTTCCTTGAGCTTAACAATGAAAGTTTTTTGTTATCATACGAAAAGCATCTGCACAAACAAAAACATGATACTTTTAATTGATACTTCCTGTGTATTATTAGAACTGAATTTATCAAAATAGTTACTCATAGCAACAATATGCAATTAAATTTATTTTGTATACAAAAATTTTGCTATAATACCATAACAGCACTACTGATGATTTTTTGAAAGGCCTCTAGTGCTTAAAGTTTATTTAATCAATTATATAAAAATACTTTGTATTAGTGTATTTTTTGGAAAAATAAAAAAAATATCTTTAGTAATAAATATTTTGAGAAAAAAAGATTTACTTTTGTTTACTGGCTCGACTATCTTTTGCTTTATATATACAATATATATATATATATATATATATATATATATATATATATCATACATACATACATACATACATACATACATACATACATACATACATACATACATACATACATACATACATACATACACGCATACATGTATATATATATATATATATATATATATATATATATATATATATATATATATATATATATATATATATATATATATATATATATATATATATATATATATATAAATTGAAAAAAGCTAAAAAAGGCCAAAATAAAGTTAACTGTAGTAGTTTTCTATTCATCAACAAGTCCTTACAGTTTGGTGTTCTGATTAGCTACTATCTACAACAAATAGACAAAAAGTAAGCCGCTTGTTGCAGTTTAGAACTGAAATATATCTAAAAATGTATTGTCCATTCGCCAAAAAAGTCCCATTTTCAGCCATTTTGAAATGCTAAAAAATTTTTTAACACTTTGTATTGATCTAAGCTTAACAGCAGTCAAGACCTTAAGATCCAACTATCTGAAAATGCAAACATTCTTTACTTGTTGCATTCACAACAAAAATAGCAGCATTTTAAAATAACCCTATTTTTCAATTATTGAAGGTTGAGCGCATTATTAGAAACCAGCACCCACCAACCTGCCTTACAGCATATTTAGTGAATGTAACAAATTATAAGTTGTTTCTTAAAAAAATGAAAGATATGGTTGATTACCCCCATGCTGATCTGGTTTTTAACCTTGGTAGGGGCACAAATAAAGGGGCAATAACTAACTAAAACTCTGTAATATTGGTACTTTAAACATAATTTACACAATTAAGGAGTGTTATATCTCAAAGTGAAAGATCTTATTATGTTGTTTTACATAATTAATGTTGAACAATTTTTCATAAGAATTTCATAATATATCAAGGGGATATTCATGATACATCAGGGGGCTTAAAAATATAATAAAATATAACTTCTATAATAAAAATAAATAATGATTAACAAAGGAAAAACTCGAAACTTGTTAGAAACCACTTAGCTTATTAGGTTTGGTTTTTACTTTTTAATTGATAATTAGTTGCTAATGTTTAAAAAAATTAATAAAGTATATTTTATTTAATCTTTTTTTTTTATTAGATAGGGGTAAAACCCTATTGTGTTTAGGAGCTCAGGCTCATGTAATGTTGCAATAATGTCACTAACTGGGTACAAATGAGCATCTGGTATTTTTGCATATTTAAAATAATTGCCAGCTTTATGTAAACAGCTGAAAGATATATAGTCACATCAATTACCTTAACACCTTTAACATCTATTACCTTTGCACGGAAAAATTCACTAAAATAACGTACTAATACCCAATCAGCAATATTGACGTCAACATTTACTGACTTTTGAGTATTAATACAAGTATCATCCAGCATGTTAAAAATGTCAAATGTTGTGCACATTGATGTTACATAAGTTTTTGAACAACGCGATAGGATAGCTTTTAAACAATGGGATAAGGTGAAAAACCATAATATGAGCGGGTTCCTTTATTAGCAGGAACATGCTTAAATCATTTAGCAAGTACTTCATGAGTGAAACAGCTGTTTTGTTTTCAGAAATATAGAGAAATCTAAAAGTAAATTTTAACATAAATCTTACAATCCAAGAATTTAATTTTTCAAATATATTTAGTAAGCTCTTGCTTTAAAGTACCATTTTCTCTGAAATTTTCCTTATGAAAAAATATTACAGCAAAAAGTTCAATGTTTTTTTTATAGGATTGACTTTTTATTTCTAAAAATAATATAAGCTATTTTTTTTATTTCAATTAAAAGTCCATAACTATATAGGATACAAGACATCCATTATTTGAAAAAAATTAGAAAATTCACGTGCACTTAGACAAGAAAGTGCAATAACCGACATTTTTAAAATTTTCTTAAGCAACTTAAAACATGTCCTTTAATGTCAAAATTTGATTTCCAATCGGCCTTTAGAAGGACAGGTTATTAATGACTCTTTTCACTGTACCACCTACTTAATCACATGCACTTCTTCTACGTACAGTACAAAAAAAATGCCGATCTGCTTTCAGCCCATTGTCTTTTCCATGACAACAAATGTTTTTCAAATTAAATCTATAATACATTAAGAAAAATTATATTCACAAAAAAATAAATTTAATAAAAAATTAATATCCTATTTATTCTATAGCAAATTTGAAAAATATCATTCAAATAACTGAATATGGTTTGTTTAAAATTGGCTAATCAGAGTTTTTTGAATGATATTATTTAAAAAATTAACCTAACTATTTTTATACAGGCTGCCTGCAACATCAGTGAAATAATGAATCTTTTGAATTTGTGGATATTCTTTCAGAATAAATACGATTTTTGAAATAACTGAAGGCTGACTCAGTATTGTGCATTAGAATGTCTGATATAACACAATAACATTTGCTTTCTAGGGTCAGTTTTTTATTCAAAAATCTTATATATACAACAAATGGATGAAGAGTTACCTGATTTATAAAAAAATATAATGCCTGAACTTAATCCTGTATGACAAATGATATGCTTTCAGGATGTTTTACTTAACTACTTTAAAAAGCATGTCTGAAATTTGCTAATATAATGATGTTTTATGAGTTTATATAAGTTGTTTGTTAACTTTTCAAGAAACTCATCAAGGCTTTTAACTATTGTTTCCAAAGAGTATCTATCAGTTTTCAACCATTGCTCATAAGCTAATTCATTTGCTGAATCGCCAACCAGATCATTTTTTTTTTTTTTAATTCTTATTTTTCCAGGACACTTTTAACACTCTTGAAACACCAATTATTTATTTTCTAATGAGCATACAGCATAGGCCATCAGTTTTTTTAACT